ATGGGGTGGCGGGGTGGTCTGAGTGTAGTAGATGTTATCCGTAGCAAATATGCGATGGAAGTGAAAGAATATTTACCTAAGTAATGGATTTTCTCTTGTAGTTATAAAAACTGTTTGACTTCGTGGGATGCGTTGCACAGTAATCTAGGAATGTATTCTATCAGCGTAACAAATAGGAAACACATATACAGTAAGCCCTATCGTATTTTTCGTGGGAATTCAAACTATTTGTGGATGATGATGAACGTTTAGAAAAACCTAGCTCTTAGTGGAACTCATTCCCACTGAACGGTGTGAATGGCAGAAGGNTCCGTTCGTGATTCGTAAACTGTGTGGGTGTGAAAGAGTTATTAGGGACTTGCGCAACATCGTGAGTGTGGAACTACGGTTTGGTTCTCGCTTCAACTTATCTGGGAAGTAACTTGTTCCCACAGCTTCATTGAAAGAAAAACAACAAGTTTATCTTCAATGCTTGATCTACTGATCTACATTATATAACATACGGAACCATGTAGAAACATCGGAAATCAGATCGGTAGTGTTTTAAAATGGGTCCATGGAGAATGTGGGAATTCAGGAAGTATTTATCCAAATATTGATATTATAATTGGTGACAGTTATTTTCTGACTGTGCATTTTCAACTGGGATGCTGGATCACTTTTCAGTTTTTTACAACCATAAAACATGCACTTTCGTGAGCCGGACGATAGAAAATTTAAACCGAATGTTAAGAGAATAATGAGTAGATGTATGAACGTCACTGTTTGCGACACCCAACCATGTCACTCAGTGTCTCTAACGATTGGTGACCATGATCTCGGGGTCCTTAGCTAGGAAGCTTAACTGAAATTATCTGACCCAGTCTCCTGTTTAGGGATTTCATACCCTGTTGACAGGTCTTCGTTTGACCACCCTTGACATTTTTCCAACCACTACCTGCCTCGGCAAACATCGCTCGCCGTGACAAGCTGTCTGGCGACATGCGTCACATTTGCCCCAACCAACGTGATCTATGGAGGTCGACCAATTGCTCCAGTGGGCGACCGCGGTTACCTAAAACTCGGTGCCTAACCTCAGCATTGCTCGTCCGGCTGCCCCACCAGATTCGTGCAATACTACGTTGACAGCGGTATTCAAACATCTTTATCCTGTTTTCTCAATGGTCAAGTTTGTGCTCCATATAGCAGAACTAGCCTAACTTCCGCGGTGTACACTCGACCCTTCACAGACAACAGGAGATCGCGTCGGCGCCACAGATGTCTCAATTTGGCAAATGCCAACCGAGCCTTCTCTGTGCGAGCTGACACTTCATCCGTGATGCGTCCACCAGGTGAGATGTAGCTGCCCAAATAACAAAACTTATTCACTTACTCGATGACTTTCCCAGTTAGAGTGAGTCTGGGTGGTGGACTAACCCAGTCTTGGAGAAGCATTTTACACCTTCAAGGTGCAAAACGCATACCAAACGTGGCTACGCTGGCATTCAAGTTATCCAGAAAAGCGTGTAACTTGCCTGGATCTTCACTTAGCAGCACGATGTCGTCTGCTCACTCTAGATCAGATAGTCTGCCACCTGGGATTAAATCGATGCCACCATCCTCGCACGAGTATAAGGCTGTTTCAAGAATTAAATCTATCACGAAGTGAAATAAAAAAGGAGAGGGCAAACGTGACCAACACCACTGTCGGTGGTGTAATCGGACGAAAACGTGTCGTAAGCTCGCACTCGATTTTGACTATGAGTATAGAGGGATTGTAATACTGAAGTCAACTTCTTGGACACACTCTTCAGGGAAAGGCAGCACCAGAGTTTAGAGTGGTCGATTGCGTCAAAAGCCGCTTTCAGATTGAAAAAGACAGAGATGGTGGGTCTACGAAAGGAGTGTCTGCGTTATATGATTTTGGGAAGAGTGAAGATGTGTTTGATTCAACCTTGACCGGGTCGAAAACCAGGCTAATCCTCCAGCGTACACCGTTTACATGCGGTAGAAAATCGACGGAGTATAATAACAGCGAGAACTATAGAGGCAATGTTGATTAAACTAATTCCTCTGTGGTTTTCACATGAAGACCTGTCACCTTACCTGCAAATCGGTATATTGACTGATTCACACCATTCCGTTGGAACCTGTTCCCTCTCCCACACTGAGCCTAGGGGTTTCGTTAATTCCGAAACCAAGGATGAACCTCCATCTTTAAAAACTGATGGGGACAGTTCATCAGGGCCGAAATTCTTATACTTCTTGAGGTAATTTATTTTTAAAGTAACCCCCATTTCAGATAGAGGACTGGTATCAACAGGTAGTATTTACACATTTCAATCCGGTATAGGGAGGTCTTGTGCTGACAAGGGCCGGCTGAACTGTGCCTTAAAATGTTCTGCCCAAAGTTCAAGACGGCATTGCTGATGTTGAATCAGTGTGCCATCGGATTCCTTAATTATCTCACGCGTTCTTTCCTTGGACCCGTATTCCTAAGTAATCGGAAAAGATTGCGA